GGGCGATGATGGAGGCAGCAGGCTACACGGCGCAGCAATCCAGAAGACGGCCGTCTTAAAAAAATGTTTGTACCGACAGATCGAGCGTTCGCAACTCTGTCACTGCTCCTGGTACTGCATCCGAACGGAGGGAACTGCGTTCCGTCTTACGTGACCTGTGCGCCAAGCGATTCTCAGCGCCAGATGGATTTCTTCCCAAACGTGTGCAACTGCACGGAGTTCTACCGTTGCAACCATAAGTCTCCAGTGGCCATGTCTTGCCCGAGCGGGTTGCACTGGAACTCCAAGGCCAACTCGTGCGATTGGCCTCAGAACGCGGGGTGTTCCGCCCAGACCTGCACAGAATGCTGACCCCTCAGCACACGTGTACGTCCCAAACCCCAACGACTGTCGCTTCTACTATCAGTGTCATGGTGGAAGGGTGTACTGCATGGAGTGCGCACCTGGTCTCCACTTCAACCCCAAGGTCAGCGTGTGTGACTACCCCGCCAATGTAAATTGTTCCAGCGTTTCCTTCCTAACTGGCCAGGCGACAGTCCCTTAACCACACGCGTTTGGTTTGACGTAGTGAGGTGTGTCCCAGATTGGCCTACGCTGACAGTTTGGCCAAAGTCCATTCCGTGTTTGGATGAACGGAATAAAATGGCGTGCGCTTGCTTCCACCCCCAACCTCGTTCGTCCACAAAACTGAGATGTATCATTCCCTATGGCATCTCCTGTGGCAGAAATTCTAACAACTTCCTGTCCGATTGCTTCCCGGTTGTCCAGATATTGTCCATTAATGTTAGCACGTAATAAGAGATTCTGAATATGGTTTTAGAAATTCTACCTGGGACACATCTGCAGTAGTTTATTAATCTTTTGTTATGTGTGTTAATTCTTCAGAATTTGCTTAATTGAGCAAGAAACTTGCTTATCATTAAGTGAACTATATTTTACTTCTTCTTGTTCTAATGTTTACTTGTGGCTAAAATGAGTAAGTAGAGTGCGTGATGGATGTGTAATCGTTGTGTAAGTTACAATGAAAACAAATAAAATGATCTGTATGATATTTTATTTTTTTTATTTAGTGTTCTGTCTGACGACAGGTCCATATGAACAGGATCCTTCCATCCTTTTCTCGGACTGGGACCTGTTCATATACGTTCTTGGCAGATGATCCAGAAGGTGTTTGCCATT